CTTTTCATTTTGACTTCGGTCACTTAGTAATGTGCATTTAAGTTGCCTCCATGTCTTCTTGTTGTTTGATAGCTCACTTTTATTTTTAGTTCTGAATAATATTCCATTGGCTGGATGTCCCACAGCTTATTTATCAATACATCTATGGAAGAACATCTCTGTTGATTCCAAGTTTTGACAATTATAAATAAAATTGCTGTAAATATCCATACACAGATTTTTGTGTGGAGGTAGGTCTTCATCTCAATTGTCAGATCATATGTTTCCGCAGATTCCATAGCTGAGATAGATGGGGTATAAACAGACAATGATTAGCCTGAAATACTCAGAATAAATTAATATCTCTAAGACTAAATAAAGGCTTTTGTATTTGTATCCATTCAATGAGACAGAACTTCTTAATTGACTTTTATTTTTTTTAATATTTTATTTATTTCTGAGAGAGAGAGACGGCAAGAGCAGGGAGAGTCAGAGACAGAGGGAGACACAGAATCTGAAACAGGCTCCAGGCTCTGAGCTAGCTGTCAGCACAGAGCCCAACGCAGGGCTCGAACCCACGAACCATGAGATCATGATCTGAGCCGAAGTTGGATGCCCAACCGACTGAGCCACCCAGGCGCCCCTTAATTGAGACTAAATAATACAAAGGTAGTAAGTAAATATCTTTATTTTTTAAAAGCATTTGAAAATTTGATATCAATACCAAAATAACTTGCCATAAAATATAAATGATGACAATAGGTCTCGCTTAAATAATGAATTTAAATAAGATTTGTAGGATAAAAGAGGCTTCCATTTGTCTTACTAGACAAATAATATTTTCTCAGATAAATTCATCTTGAGCATATGTTGAAATTCTTAGCTTGTTACTGGGGAAACTAACAAGTCGATTATGGTGTTTACCAATATGAAGTAAGCTTCTACCCAGCCTATCAATCCTATATGAAAAAAATATTTACATAAGTAGCTAAGCTTCTAAGTGGAGATATTGCTTTATTTTACATAATTCCTAAAGGTCACAACCATGAGGCTGACGGTTGAGAGCCACCTTAGGATTTTCAGGAGCAAGTGATAAATAAAGAAAATTCATCTGTTACTATGAATAGATGTAGCAAGAAAAAAAATACTTCTGTCTCCACACAGTTGTTCCTAATCTCAGACTGTTACCTCTTTATATTTCCTTATTTTTCTGCAAAGATACTATGTCTTCCTGGATCTTACTGAATTATGACTTAGGTATTTATTTGTAGTAAATGTATTTTGGTGAGAGATGTCTCTTCTGACTCTACAAAGTGGCTTTTTATTTTAAATTACAGGATGCTTTCCTGAGTCATTTTATGTGTTTCTCAGATTATACAGTTGACCCTTGAACAGCATGGATTTGAACTACACAGATCCGCTTCTATGTGGACTTCTTACAGTAGAGTGCTATAAAAATATTTTCTCTTCCGTCTGATTTTCTTAATAAGATTTTTCCTCTGGTTTTCTTTTTGTAAGAATACCACATATAGTACACATACAGAAGGTGTGTTAATTGACTGCTTATGTTATCGGTAAAGCTTCTGGCCAACAGTAGGCTATTAGTAGTTAAGTTTTGGGGGAACCATAAGTTATACAAGTTTTTGACTCTGTAGGGTGTTGGTGCCCCAACCCTCACATTGTTCAAAGGTCAACTGTACTTTAGAAGCAGGTGTGTCCTTTCCAGCCATCCACCCCTTTATCCAGTTTGCTTTTCCTGTAGCATTTGCATTGATTGGCATTATAGTCTACCGTCTCTGTTTATTTGTTTTTTATTTACCCAGTTATTTGTTTTCTATTTATGCATTAAGTACATATATACCATGAAGGTAGGGTTTTGACTGTTTTTCTGCTGTATCTTTAGTGCATAAAACAGGGTGGGCACATTGTAGGTCATCATTAAGTATTTGTTGACTAAGTGGTTGGATACATGAATGGAATAGTCTCCACTGAGGACATACCAGGTTTATTTGATCAATCTTCTATTAATGGATCTTTGAGCTGCTTCTGGACTTTCAGAATTACATAGATGATGTATCAATACGTACCCTGGATTACTCTAGTAGAGATTGTTGCTGCCTTTTTAGGCACTCCTCCTCCTATTCATAACCATCCTTATAACCCTTCAGTTAACCAGACATATACCAAGTAGGCCATGTTTATTTCAGAATGAAAAGTCCACCCCTTGCTCTGAGGTTACGCCATGCAACTTAATTGTAAACTAATCAGCATAATCCCATTAGATTATTGGCTCAGGTTTGTGCAAGTGACCAAATTCAGTGAGAGACACACTATATGGTGTCTGCAAGGGACATCTTGGAAAGAAACTTTCTAGTTCTGATGGTAGTAACTTTGTTTATCTCTCTCTCTAGGTATAGATGAGGGAGAGTTGGGCTCTGAGGGCCATTTCGATCACAAGGCTTTATTCTGAGGATAAAACTGACAGTAATGCACAGGACAGAGACAGGAATAATAGGGTCCTTGACATTTTTGAATTGCTGAATCAAAACATCCTTGAAGTCTTCCCAATGTCTAAACTTCCATTAGTCATTTTTAAAGGCCATATGAGTTGGCTGTTCTGTTCTTTGCAATGGCATGACTCCTAAATTATACACTCCCATTTATACTTTGTTTTTGTGTTTATATGGGGATTTTAATAGAATAGAGTTTTAGAAATGAAGTTGCTGGGTCAAAGAGCATACAGATTTTATATTTTGGTATAAATCTACAAATTACAAAGTTAGATTTTTTTTTAAAAAAAGACAATTGATAGAAAATGACAAGATAGGCTGACAAGGGACTATTGAATGGTATCAAGAAATAGTATTTGTTTGTTTTTTCATACTTTTCTTTGCACCTTACCTTATCTCTCGTCTTTTATATGTCTCCCTTAGCCTGCCAAGTCTCTGAATCTGCCCTCTACTTGCGGTGATGTGAGTAGATGTATATCGGTGGTGGTGATGGGGTGTAATAGAAAATGTTTTAGGAGAAACAGGAGAATCAGCTCATTTGTTTCTGGAGAGAAGCCTGAGATATTTAGTTAAGGTAGATCTAAAGTTTCCTATTTTACCATAGGGGAGTTATATATGAAATTAATTAATTTAGGCTATATTCAAACATAAAAGCAATTCAATGAGAACTATGGAAATAAGACAGGACAACTTAGTTATGACCAAATATTTAAGGGTCTTGAATCCAAGGCTAAGGAATTTGGGCTCCATCCCAGTGGAACTGACAAGGCAATATTAAGGGCTCAGGACTATTTCTTATGAATGTGCTGTCCATAATTACAAAGGAATAGAAATTTGGTAACGGGGCACGTATCTTCCCATACTTTCCCCTTCCAAAATACCTGGTATGGATTGCAGGTTTGTGTCCCTCCCCCATGCCCACAACTTTATGAGCTCAAACAACAATGGGATGGTGCTAGGAGGTGGGTCCTTTGCAAGGTTTAGTTATGGTCATAAGGGTAGAGGCCCCATGATGGAATTAGCATCCTTATAAGAAGAAACTAGAGCCCTTTCTCTGCCAGGTGAGGACGCAGTGAGAAGGCCCCCATCTACAAGCCAGGAAGTGGGCCCCCACTATTTTCCACTGCACCTTGATCTCAGACTTCCCAGCCTCCAGAACAATGAGAAATTAATGTTTGTGGTTAACCCACCCAGTCTATGGCATTTTGAGTATAGCAGCCTAACCGATGAAGACAACATCTCTTCTTCACCTTATTACTGAGTCTGTGAACACTTCTCCCTTTCAAACTTCCTCCCTCTGCTCCAAGGTGTCCATACCTAGATCCCATTACATTCTTCTCCTGGATCCATACCAGATATACACAGCAATCACATGTTGGGACTTGTGCTCCAAACCAACTCTGTAGCCACAACTTCTGTGACCTCAGTGTAATAGATCTATTTTCTGCAAACTTCACCTATGTTTCCACTTTCTTTCTTTTTATAGTTCAAAAGAGTACATTATTTGGGCTGGGATGTGGGGCTCTGGTGGTGGAAGATGGGCGAATGGCACAGATGGCCTACAGACATCAGGCCTGATGGCATGCTATGGCAATAAAATCCCAGTGGGAAAGCAAGAAAGATCTTAGACAACTGGGATATACAGGCGGGTAAAACCTTGGAAAATGCAGGAAATCTGTGATTTGTATAAAAAAAAATTCTACACCTGGTGGTTTCCATTATCTAGCCTCACAGAGTTTCAGATGGATTGGAGCAACAAAAGAAAAAGAGAGAGAGAGAGAGAGAGACCATGGTGTCACAGCAGTGACAATGCATCAGGAATAAGGGCTGCTGGAGCTTCCCTGACTCTGAACTAGCTGGATGACTTTGGGCAGTTGATTTTCACTTTCTGTACCCTGGTGTCATCATCATCTGTTCTAAACTGTGACGACAACAGGGGCACCTGGGTGGCTTAGTCGGTTAAGCGTCCGACTTTCGCTTAGGTCATGATCTCGCGGTTCGTGGGTTCGAGCCCCACGTCGGGCTCTGTGCTGACTGCCAGCTCAGAGCCTGGAGCCTGTTTCAGTCTGTGACTCCCTCTCTCTCTGACCCTCCCCTGCTCACGCTGTCTCTCTCTCTCTCTCCTAGAAATAAATAAAACATTAAAAAAAATTTTTTTTTAAATAAAATAAAATAAATTGTGATGACAACAGTGACCTCAAAGCTGACCCATGCCTATATCTTCAGTGGGCCATGCAGAGCCTAGCAGGTAAGTGATCAGTGAATTCATCTGGATCAGGCTGAATGAATAACTATGTAACCTTTCCAATTCTATCCTCAAGTAATTGTTCAATTCTGTGTCCACTCTCTTAATCAGCGCCAGTTTGAAGAGAAAGTTCATAAATATTAAGTAAGTACTGTTCTTGGACACATGTACCATGGGACAAAATGTTTTATTTAGATACTGTTTTCAGGCATAGGTGGAAGGTGATGTTGACTAATAGAGGAGAGGGTGTGGGGAGGTCCCCGTGCTTAGTTGGCAGCGATGGTCTGCCGAACCCAGTTCACATAGTTGCAGACCTTGGTGTAGACACCGGGTTTGCCTCTTTGAGCGCAGCCAATACCCCAGGAGACAATGCCCTGGAGCTCGTTGTTGCAGACCGCAGGGCCACCAGAGTCACCCTGAACAAGAAGGAAGAGACAGTAAGAACTCTCAGTTATGCCAAGATGGGAGAAAGGCTCAAAGTTGGCTCTCCATTACCTGGGGTCCGTTTTCCCAGGCTGCTGATTCTCCAGGAAGCACCTTCCCTTTTCCTGGGAATCCAACTCTCAATCTCTATACTACGTTCTTATCCTTTCTCCTCCCTCCTCCTAGCTCCTGCTCTTCTCTTAGTTGCAGGCATTCAGGACCAAGAAGAGGCGAGGACTGGTGAGCCCAATGCTGCCCAGCTAGCCGTGCTTTTTTTTCCAGAAAGTTCCCTGCTGCAGCATCCCTCCTCAGCAGGGTGCCTGGATGTCCTGTTTGCATACCATCTTCTGTGTATCTTTTTACCCTTCACTCTAACCATTAATAGCTCAAAAAGTAAACATCACTTATCCCAAATCTCTCCCTTTTCCCTTATAATCCATCCCAGAGACAGCTTCTCAATCTTCTGTGTTTCAGGAAAGGGAAAGTATGGTAGAAATGCATGAGGTTTGGCCAGAGGAAAGAGTACAGGGAAACTAACCTGGCAGGAGTCCTTTCCACCCTCCAGGAAGCCCAGACAGATCATGTTGCTGGTGATCTGGCCTGGGTAGGCTTTACGGCAAGCACTGTCAGATAGTATGGGAGCTTTCAGACACTGCAGGACATCGGGATAGTTTTCTGTGGGGTGCAAGAGTGAAAATGGGAGAAAATTATCCACAGGATTCCTGGAGATTAATTTCCCCGTCTCTCCCTCCTTCCCTACTCTCTCTGGTTGTCAGTAACTTCTATTTTGGAAGAACGATTTTATCTGGAAATTCTTCCAAACAGTTTTAACCAACAAGTTGCTCTCTCGGCGCTGGCACCAGTGACCCTAGATCTCAAATCTGGAGGCCAGCTCTTAGGCAACCCTATAAACTTCAGGTGGTGCCAGATCCCTCAGCCTCGGTTCTGTTTACCTCCTCAGTTTCTACTTCTTTGCAAATCACTAATCACACTGCAATGGAATACTGCTATCTTCCATCACAGTTCATTTTCTGTTGTGTTTTCCAGCAAAGGAATCTTCCTAAGACTCCATACATCCACAGACTCTCTTCTGGGAACCGTGCCTTGAGTGACAAATTGGACTAACTGACCCCCAACATGTCTTTCACTTCTAGGATTTCCAGACTTGGTGTTTTTCTTCCAGGTGACACTCACCCCCAACGCTCTGGACATTGCCCCAGCCAGAGATGAGGCACTGGGTACCAGCAGCTGCACAAGATCTTGGCAGAGAGATAGTAGACACTCGAGAGTTCAGGGTGGCGGGTGAGCTCAGCTTAATCAGCATGATGTCATTATCAACAGTGTTTGGATTGTATCTGGGGTGGCGGATGACCTTGGCTGAATTGATGAATTGCTCACCGCCCTCAGTGACTGCAATGTTGTGTTCTCCCAGATGCACCTGGATTCGGCTGGATTAAGTGGTTGGATTAAGTGGCTGGATTTTTTCCTCTCCCCAGTTCACCCCAGTCATAAGCATAACATGAACACCATCCCCTTCAAGCATTCCCACACATACGTAATTGTGCACTTAAGGCAGCCCTACCAGATATGGTCCAGGTTAGAGTAACTCTTAGGTGAGTGTCACTACCAGTATAGACTCACAGCCCGCCATCTTGTTAGAATAGCTAGATGCATTTAATTCCTATGACTAAATGACACCAATAAAATGGTGGCAGGTTAAGTGGAAATTGGCAAATATTATTCAGCACCTGCTAGTCCTCCGCTGGTTGAGATTACCAACTACTGTAGAGAGAGATGGCAGGAATCCGAGACATGAAGTCATTAAGGGGACAGAATGGGTTGTGCTTATTTTTAACATTGTACTGGAAACTTCATGTGGGTTTTCACCTCCATATGCCATTTTTTCCTGGTGGAGCTATAATGATTAGGACTATTTATCAATTAATGCTCTTAAGCTAGTTCTAAGTATACTTCATCACTCACTAGTCCCCCTCCTCTGTCTTTGGTACCATCATTTGGAAGGCCATCAGGGAACTCTAAGGTTAGCTGTCCGTGTAAAATTCCCTCGAAGCAACATACAGTGCCTGGGGAGAATGACGAGGCTTCTAGAATCTGAATGCTCACCCCTCAAGCATAACTCTCCAGGGTACCCTGAGCGTGCTTTGGCAGGGCGGGGGGAGGAGCTGAACTGGGAGAGCAGATATGTGAGTATCAGTTACTTACGACTTGTAGCAGTGAGCCGCAGACACCACCCACCAGGAATTGAGGAGGGAGCCACCACAGAAGTGGTAGCCCGAGTTCAGGGACACCTGGTAGGGGATGGAGTTCCTTGGACAGGTGTAGCCCCCGACGATCTTGTCATCGTCATCAATGGGGAAAGCAACTGACGAGGAAAAGTTGGAAATTATCTGTTAAACAGATCTGTCTTGGAATTTCTACGTAGCACTAAGTTTTTACAGGTGAACTAGAAAAGAGAAGATAATGTTTTCTTGTCACACATAATCAGGAAATGATGATAACATAATTTTTACATAACTTTTTTTTCCAAAATCATATTATTCTATACCTTTGACACATATCCTAGTTATACCATTATAAGTATCTAATTTTTAAGTTATGCTTTAAATTTGATAAAAATACTGTTTTTCAATATATGTACCACACACACACACACACACACACACACATACACACACACACACACCTTGAGACTCTCTATATATAAAGAGACTCTTTATATATTAAACGGCCTGAACATTACCACCTAAGGATATAAAGAATACTTTTTAGGGGTGCCTGGGTGGCTTAGTCGGTTAAGGGTCTGACTCTTGGTTTTGGCTCAGGTCATGATCTCATGGTTTACAAGTTTGAGCCCCACATCAGGCTCTGCGCTGACACTGCAGAGCCTGCTTGGGATTCTCTCTCTCCCTCTCTCTCTTTGCCTGCCCCTCCTCTGCTTACTCACTCACTCTCTCTTTTTCTCAAAATAAATAAATAAACATTAAAAATACTTTTTATGCAAAACTTTGTTCAGCAGACATGCAAATAAGGTGTTCAGTGAAGCTTTGAAGTAATCATGCTTATATTTATTTATGGTGGTTGGAATAGGATAGATATTCACATGAAGTAACGGAAAGGAAGCTTTTAGAAGCCACCTAAGAATGTTCTAGCCTGAAAAAAAATGGGAGTTTGTACTTTTGTTTCCCCAATTTCTCTTTTTGGCTCTTGCCTAAAATTTTCATGAAATAATTTCATAAAACATTATATTTGGTTTCCCTCTCCAAACTTTCCCCTTATCCCAATTATCTTTCCAATGTTTTTCAATTTTTCAGCATTGTGAAGTTTGGCCCACTGATTTATTAAGATTTCTATGGCTCCCGAAGTCTATGATTATATTATATCCGCTTTATTGTGCAAGTATTTTAAAGTAATTTTGTGAATGGCATTTAGAAACTAGTGTATTGAACTTATCCAATTTGGGAAAGTTTGGTAGTAAGTTTTTGATAAAATTTAGTAGTATAAAGAATAGAAACAGACATTTCTCTATGTCTCTTGATGATTAAATGATATGTTATTTTACACCAGAGGGATTTCATTAGGAAAGACATTGTAAATCCCAGCCCATAGCTTTTATTCATAAGACATAAAGTATCTTTGCCTGTTAAGATCCTTTCTGTATAGAGGAGTCTCTGGTTCTGACCCTAACAGCCTCTCCAATGGGCCCAAAACTAGTCATTGGTCCCAATTATTAATTCCAAATGCAACATTTCCTTAATGTTAACTATCCTTTCCTTTTCTCTCTTCCTTCATAGATTTTTGCCTTGAAGTTCAGGGCAATTTCTGCCTCTTTATACTTTCTACACTAATTACTCCTGATAACTATAATCTTTCCCCAACAAGTGAGATTTAATTATGTAGAAACATTTGTACTAGAGTGGTTTTCCCTTGTCCATGGTTTCAGTTACCCTCGGCGAACCACAGTCAGGAAGCTGATGATCTTCTTTCTGAATTATCATCAGCAGGTCATTACTAGCCTAACTCTATCTTACAATGCCTACATCATTCACCTCACCCTATTTATCATGTAGGCATTTTATCATATCACATCATCACAAGAAGTGTGGGTATAGTACAATAAGATATTTAGAGAGAGAGAGAAAAGAGCAAGTCACATAACTTCTATTACAGTATCTTAGGATTATTTTATAAGTGTTCTATTTTATTATTAGTTATTGTTAATCCCTTAGTGTACCTAATTTATAAATTAAGCTTTGTCATAGGTACACATATATGTTGGGAAAAGCATAATATATACAGGGTTCAATACTATCTGCAGCTTCCGGTATCCACTGGGGGTAGATGTACCGACTGCATTTGTTTATTAATAAAGACTCACCAGCAGCTCCCAGGAGAGCAAGGAAAATGAAGGTCTTCATGGTCGCTCAGTGGATTTGGACTGGGAAGTGTGATGAATGTTTTTCATCCACAGCTATTTATACCTCCAGGTTTATCACCGACACCCATGGCCATGGGTGCCAGAAAAGTGATTTGACTGGAAACTCACAAATCCAAATTTAGAATCCAATTCAATGCCAAACTGAAGATAATTTGGCGTCAGATTTAAACATCAGCTTTTGTCTACTTTTCCAGAAAGTTATGGGAATGGAAGTAATAAGCCCACCTGGTGCAATTTGTTCCCCAAAATAGAAAAGTACATTGGAGTAAGGTCACAGAACAGGGCTACAGGTGTCCTATTTCCCAGACGGAAATATTATGTACTTGGTTGTCTCAACTGTGAACTTTCATTCTGAGGACTCTCTTGAACACTACCCCCTTGATGTTTAATTAACTTTGGCTCTTCCACAATTATATAATTTTTCTTGTGGCATCCATGGTTTTGTAGAGCCATGTTAACTTTTCATTATTAACAGGGAAATTTGATTCCTTGAAAAAAGAAAAAATTGTTCTGAGTTGAAACTATGATCGTTCTCAAGAGAAGAATGAAAGAATAAGCTGCTAGAAGTTACTATATATTTTATATATATAAAATCTTTGCATATATTAATCTAGAAATTCTCATTACAACCTTAGAAGATATCTATTACTACCCCCACTATACATATGGGGAAACTGAGGCACATGAAATTTACAGGGGACTTGACCAACATCACATAGCAAGTACACGATAGGGTCAGGATTCCAATCCAGGAAATCTGGCTTCGGAGTCTGTGCATTTAACCACTGTACAACGCCTCTCCATTCAGTTCACCACAATCTGGACACCAAGATAATACAGACATGTTGGTGACTGATAATACAATTGAAATTTATGGAGTGCTTACTGTGTGTCAGGCACTGTGGGTGGGGTTTATATACATCAGTTCATTCGATCCTTACCAACAGCTCTATCAGTGTGGTTCTAATTTTTACCACGTTGTAGACGAGGGACAGAGAAGCTTGGGGAAATTACATATTTTGCTCAAAGTTTTATATTCTTCAGTGGTTAACATAGTATTCACACTCAATCAGCCTCATTTCAGGGATCATAAACTCTACTGTGATGCCATAAACATAATCAAGGAGAACAACCTGAATGCCACCAAATTAAGGGAGGACCCTAGGGAGCAGCGGGAATTCTTAGATAAATTAAAGAAATGGGTTCCTGGAGCAAGAGTTGTCACAATTAATGAAGCATGGCAGAAGTGTCTGGAATAAGTGAATCTCGGGACCAGATGCTCCTCCCACACATCTGAACGGCCTACCAGGATGTTACTTCTGCTTTAGCAAATCATTTCTCATGAAGTAGTTTGCTTCTTGTACGTTTGAAATTGTGCTCATATAAAGATGATTCACTAGAAGGCGGAATTTCTCAACCTTGGCACTACTGGCATTTGGAGCCAGGTAATTCTGTGCTGTGGGGAACGGCCCTGCGCACTGTAGGATATTCATCAGCATCCCTGGCCTTAGTTACAAGTATCACTAACCCCTCCTCCACGATGTGACAACTCAGCTGTCTCCAGACATTGCTACATGTTCCCTTGGGTTCAAAATCATCCCCAGCTGGGAATGACTGATCTAAGGAGAAAAGATGGGCAAAGTAGCTTCTAAGAAGGCCCTAGCCATGGGAAAGTGATTTGAATGGTAAGGCAATGTAGGCACTAATTAACTACTGAAGAAATGGCACATAAAGCAGGGGGCTGCCCCTCACTGATCCTTAAAAATCAGAGGAACTAAGGAGTAAGAGAAGGGCCAGGCCCAGAGTGAAGAAGGGAGAGCCTTCCCAACCTGTCCAATTATCTTCCTTTCTGATACGTCCATGATGAAGTGGTGGAAGTTGTATGTTTCTATATCACACCTGGGACTTTCCTTGAAACCCACCAGAGATCTTAGCCCCTTTGAAAGGCACAGCATTGTCAAGCAGAGTTTCCACAATAATTGACTCATGTGCCGCTATGCTTTAGGGAGCTTTCTCTGCTGCATTCTGGGATTTACCATTTGGACCCCTTCTCCCTGGAAGGGGAAGTGTGAGAGTTGCCAGATAAAGACAATTATCTAGGCTCAGCTGCAAATGCCCAAATAAACACCTGAGATAAAGGAACATGGACCCATCCAGTGGCAGTGATGACTCTTCAGTCATCTAAAGCAGTAGTGGGGATGTAGGGGAAATGCAGAGCAATGGGTTTCTGGACTTCAGGTGTTCTCAAATAACTCTCACATGTGGTGCCTGGAAACCACTGAACACAGTGCTTTTAAAGTAACTTAAGTTTTTTTTTATTAAAAAAATGTTTTAATCTTTATTTATTTTTGAGAGAGAGACAGAGTCCAAGCAGGGAAGGAACAGAGAGAGAGAGGGAGACACAGAATCCGAAGCAGGCTCCAAGCTCCGAGCTGTCAGCACGGAGTCCAACGCAGGGCTCAAACTCACAAACCTCGAGAACCTTTTTTTTTTTTTTTTTTTTTCCTACTTTGGGTGAACTTTATTTTTTGGAAACATGTACCTTCCCATGTACTTCCTAACATGGCAAAAGAACTTTCGTATTCGGGTCTGGGGTTGAAGGCTGGTTCTCCCTGGGGTCCGTTCCTCCTCGTTCTCTATGTCTTCACAGTAACTGATGTTGATGGTGTTGTGGATGCTGGTGTCTTCAGAGGTTCTCTTCAAGGACCCCAGGGAGTACGTGCTGGAGGGGGAGGGGGAGGCTGACGTGGGGCTCCAGGAGTCGGCTGGGCTGGGTGTGCTCACTGTGGTCCCAGGGCTGGGTGGGCGACAGCCTGGCCATTCTGCCACCGCTAGAGGTATCAGGGGGTCTTCGTTTCCGTAAGTCCAAGGACTCAGTCCTTCGTCCTTTCCTGCATGTCCCCCTTTGCCCGATACCCGGTGGGTGGATCTTAATCTGCTCCAAACGTTTCCATTCCTGAGTGCCATCAGCATCAGGACACCCTCTTGTCGCGAGTCCCCATGGACGTCCCAGCCGACCTCCCCCGCCTCAACTGGCTCCATCCCCGTGCCTAAGCAGTAGAAAACCACCCCCAGGCTCCACACATCTGTGGAAGGCCGGGAAGATTCCTGGTGGACCAAGAGTCGAGGGGCAGAAGTGGGGCTCTCCTCAAACGTGTGGACTTTGTAGCCCGCAAACTGGATGCTCAGGCCAATGCCCGTGCATGCTATCTTTAGATCTTGATTAAAGAGCAGCTGCTCTAGGTCTAGGTCCATGGGGAAAATACCTTCTTGGAGGCCGCATTCCACGATGGCTAGAAGTTGGCAGAGCTTATCAGCCACGCGGCCACGGTGGATGCACTCGTTCCCCAGCTGGTCTCTGACGACATGCTCCGATATGAGCACTAACATATGACCCGAGCCGAAGTCGGAGGCCCAACCGACTGAGCCACCCAGATGCCCCAAGTTTTTATTTTTATATAGATTTTTTTCCCTGAACCTCTTCTCAAGCATAGATGTTGATATTTCATGTGTTGGTGAATCTTTATCTAATGCATGTTAAAATGAACACATGCAGTTCGATGATATAGCTCTTTAAATAACAATGGTCATTTCTGCACTCCCTAAAATCATTTTGAAGACTAGTTGTTTTAGTATATGTGCCGCCAAAGCAAACACATGTTGACGACTGGCCCCATAGCATCAGGCAGAGGCCCCGACAAAATGAGAGTGGGACATCCCAAGTATCGCTGGTGGTTGTGACTGTGATGGCACTGGGTGTGGAGAGGGTACGGAGCAGAGTAGATATGGATATTCAGTGAGAGCCCAAAGTACTCCAAGTGGAAGGTACTGGAAGAATGCTCCCTCTTGAAGAAGCCAGGAGAATACAGGATCAGTATGAGTTGTCTGTACGTGAGCGCCATATCCATCTTTTCTGTAAAGCGGGAGAACAAACCTGAAGATATCCTTGCACGATTGTGTGTGAGCTCAAACCTATGAGATACCTTTTACTCCTGAGATACAGTGCACCAGCCTATGAAGCTGGGCCCTGGAGAACAGGGCTGAAACTTCCCAGATTCAATAGGTATTCTTGTCTGCACTTCATGTGTGCTTAACGTCTGTCCTCAATAACATCGATGAATTCTTGTTTACAATCAACACTGGACTTGCCACAGTGTGTGGATGCGGCGGGGGGGGGGGGGGGGGCCTTCCTCAGTGTCATCCATGAAAAGAGCCACATGCTACATGTGGCAATGTCCATATTCCTTCTGCCTGGCAGTGTGGGTTGGTACCTAGACTTCTTTTCTAACTTCAAACATACGATGGCCCAGAGGCATGTGTCTGTATTTAATGCATCTGTATTTGTCACCACAATTTCCCATGAACACAGCTTAGTGGCCTTGGAGGACTTTCTAAACTTGGGCCTGACTTGGGGGCTGGTTGGGCTCCCGCAAATATGTTGACATTTATATTGGCAGAAACAAAACTCACCAACCTCTGAGGGCAATTTTGTAATCTTTTCTCTAATGTAGGCTGTTTTTCTTTTTCCTTAGCTTCTCCAGCCACCTTTCTGGCTAATAAAACGCTAGTTACTGAGGCCATTTACTGGCTCCTTAACCGTGCCAACAGGAAGGGAAATTTTTAAATAAGAATTCCTCTCCCTAAAATATGTATACATATTAAGTTTATTAAAAAACTGAAAGAAGCAATCAGGGCAACAAGAATACAAAAAAGAACAAGGTTACAAAGTACATGCTTGTGTCATAACCTTGATGCGAACCTGACCGTCTGTGCTAACTTGAGTTTCTAATCATTGCCGTATACAGAAAATCAGTGTTGGTGAATAGAATGTTCTTTCTTGGTAAAGTGAACCCTGGAACCAAACACGCTTCCTTGAGAACATCTCTATTTTAGTTTGAGGACATCTCTATTCTAGCCGCATGTGATTCTCTCCATAAAACTTGCAGGGGTCAGCAGACTTTTCCTGTAAAGAGCCCAACA